ATGATTTGATAGGAATAAATCTCCCTTATCTATTCCCCTCATGTATTTGGATAATTCTGTGCATGTCCACTCAATTTCACAGACAGAGCTGGTTTAAATTATTTGTGTTTTCTAACATGCTTATGTTTCGGGTTTTGACTTGGGAAGTGGAATGGCCTTGTGGTAGTTTTCTTAGAATTACTGGAAAATCGCTTTAATAAATTTTGTCAATCTACAAAAACTTGATTTGAATTAATAGGAATAATAAATTTGTCTCAGTGGCAGTGACTTTCTCGTTGTGGGTATTTTAATTAATAATTGATATCCATCATATTTATTATTAGTGGTGACTTAATCTACCATAAATGCTTCAATGGTTACAACTACCACAGGACTGAAACCTGTAAAAACTTACTATTTCCCTAATAGGCAGTCTTTTGTGACTTGTCGTTGGCTCTCCTTTTATACTTGTTCTGTATCAATCGTTGCTTGCCTATAGCAGTACTTACCGTTTATTATGGAAAAAGACGCGGTATTTGTAGCGAAATAACAAATACCGCGCTTGTGAAACAATAGTGGCCTATTCTTGATTGATGTACTTGAGGGAATGCATCTTTTTTTGCCAACAGAGAATACTCTGTGATTGCAATTAATTTAATAATCTTGCCTATTGGAAGATAGGAAATAAGGATAGAGCCCGATTCAGTTCAAATTAGCCTTTTTGGTTTAGTATTACTAATACTTATTCATCTTTAAAGTATTATATTAGTAGTTAATCAAGAGAAAACTATTTTTTAATAAAATTTGTATTGCTGATCCATAGGCACGTATATTCACTGCTGGAAACTATTTTTAAAAGGAGTAATTTTTACGATTTGTTAACTTAGAGTGGTCCACAATCGAGTCTTAACTTGGGCTTAAGCAAACCATAAATAAATCGAAATTTTAGTTGAATTAAGTGTGAAAAATAACGAACTCTTTCCCATCCCTTACTATTACCCTGCTTAGTAAGTTTAACTTCGAATAATCTGTTTTGTGTAATTAAATTGTAGAATTTGTTTCTCTCTTAACTTTCTTACTTTCTCAATCTTTTGCTTTCGAATTGTACCCACCTCGAGCCAGATCTGGGTTCACAAAAACAAACAAGTATAACCCTTATGTTCTCTGTGAGCACAAAATATTGCAAATTGCTCAAAATCAAAGAAATGATCCAGTTGAGAGGTTGACATGTAAAGCGAGGAAAGTGGAAGGTGTGGATGTCCCAAACCAATTAGGAGAAGTGTTTACAGTATCTGGCTAAGATAGAGCAACGATGTGCTAAAGCCGTTATCGTTCATCTGTCCATCTTGGTGGCTAGGCTTAATTGTAGCGGTTGGCCACCCACCCCAACGGTTATACACTCATAGGTATTGATGTCGTTACCCTTGACTCTAGGGGCACGTGCTTTGATATCAGTGACCCCGGTGCCCTAGAACATCTAAATTTTTGTCCACTAATTAAGATGCATTTATGAAGGAATTTGAGGCAGATTGAGTATGAATGTGATTTCATGCTACTTGTCAATAAATTACAAAAAGTCTGAAGAACAATTATCATTCGTTCATGTATCTTGCTGATTTTAAGCACACATCTATGGGAATATAATTGTCGTCAGACTTTTTCCCCTTTAGCGCCTTTTTTCAGCCCCCTAGACCTTCACTACGTTTTAAGGAAATTTGAATCTTATTTTGTCAATACTTTCTCTTGGCTCCCACTATCCTGAAACTCAACATATATTCACTAGCGCTTACCTCAACTCCCCCAAGTTAGCTTCCAGACTTAGTTCCTGACTTTGCTGACCAGCCGCTGGAATTAACTACTACCATAACATCACCTAATGAGGGGGAGGGGTACCCACCACATTGGCAGCCCTCTCCACTACAATAAGTTCTCCTAAACTTAATCTTTCTTCTTGCTCTTTGTAGTTCTGGTGAATGTGTATTTCGATCATTCACCTTATCATCAAGCCACAACTATTTATCATAAAACATATCCTGAAATAATAGCAATCATGAGAAAGCAGTTATCCTCTTGGGTGTTGATCTTTTTTCTGTGATGCATTCTTTATCCCTTCGAATCTTAATAAATTTCGGTGGAGCATTTACTCAGAAACAAGGAGGAAAAGAAGAAAACATGTCACTCAAAGACGTCTTGCTTATTATGCATACTCAAGTACTTATATGTAGCTTAGACCAAATGGAAGTGAAGAGATTTCGCAGCAAAATGTGAGCGTGTAAGAAAATTTGACGGACGACACCATGCTCGCTGAATGGATCCTGTTAAGTGCACCTAACATCGTTCAACTTCGTCGCATACCAGCAGTACTGAAATAAAATTAACACCAATGAAAGTATAACATTCAGATTCATTCATTAATGGTGGATCTTTTCTTTCTATTTATCGTCAATGTTATGCCACTCAAGGGTTAATTCGGGTTGATGATGATGGTCAATTTAACTCCTACTTAGGGAAGTTTATTTGTTGGATGTTGGTTGGCTAGAGGCATAAATAAGCTACTGGGTAACATCGATTAAAGTCCCATTATTATTAATGGAATAATTGAAATGAATCGTGTAGAGTCGATCTCACGACCGAGAGTTATAAGGAGAGAGAGAAAGGTCTACGTCCTTCGCATACTAATTTTCATTTAAGTATATATTTACGCAGTTTGAATTCTGTTTGCTAACTAATTAAAATATTGCTTTTCTCCTAATTTATATTAACCTAATATAATAATACCAGTTATAAATGACGTAAAATAATACCTAAAAGTGATTTCAATAATCGAATTTAATTTTTCTTTTCTGAATGATAGTTTTATTGCATGTGAGTTTTAATGCTCCTCTTAGCCTAATGTACTTTATGGCATCTGTTGTTATCTCCCAGCTATTTATGGTGTGCAGTGAACATTACTTAGATGAGCTTCAACTAAATTTCAACAATCCTCTCTAATATGAAATTGCTCCCGAAATTAGCTAGGCCATGCTCAAAGTAGCGAGAACGTAGAGCGTAAAGAGTGACGAGCATTTATCACAACCTATAGCCAGGTGCTATAATTTGCGCTACGCTAATTTGCACTGATTATTGATTATCGGCTGTTGGGAGGCCTCTGGACACGGATCTCCGGGATGTTCTAGAGTGCATGAGATTCTTTTGATCAGACCCGGTAGCATTGTGCAATCCACAAGAGATCCTAGGTAGATAGTGATGGAAATCACAATCTTGCGTTTTGAATCCGATTCCACTAATGGCGTCTTTAATTTATGAATTGAAAATGCGATTTTTCATATTTGGTATCGAAATAGAACTGACAAACTGATCGTAAATTTAATTAAAATGAAAAGTGTAGGGTTATAAAATTGTAACATTCAAAATGTAGCCAATGTACCTGGAGTTGTCATAAGCCTCATAAATTAAATTCGATTCAGCATAGCTCGATCTTTAACTGTCAACAGAACTGATCAATTCTTAACACGGCAAATGGGGAGAATAAACAAATCCAACGATTTTCATTGGTGAAGTTAATGAAAGTTCATTCCACCTAAGTTAAACAGGAGGTGTTAGTAATTAACTTTCCCATTAATTCGGACAGACATTTAGCTCGCATCACATGACTTTGGACAGAAAAGAGCACGACTTTTACAAGTGCGAATTCTCTTCACAGTCTTATCGTTGCGGTGTTGACTATTAAATAGGACAAATTCTCCTAGCGACCAAGTCCTTTTAAATAATCCTGAGCTTGCATTTTACCATCGTTTATTAACATTAATGACGATATACTAAACAGTTTGACGGTGATTTCATAATAAATTGAATAGAACGATATATGAAGCACCTATTTGACAAAAATCACAAGTCAAATAAATGTTTGGACCACTAGGGGGGTTTAAACTAAGATAATCACACTATGTCGATTTGAACTATTTTTATTTAGAATTTATCTATTTTAATGAGGAAAAGTTGAAAATAATACTGATTTCACACAAATGTTTACTTCTTAGTTTTCGCAAAATTGCCATTAATTCATTAACTCAGGTATTTCTATTCACCTTTTCTTTATTTTTGAGTTTTCCAAAGTCGAGTAAAATGATTTGCAAATCAATTCATTAAAATTCGAACTACAACTACTACGAAGTAAAAGAAGAATCAAGAAAGCAAAGCATCTTAAGATGTGAAGAATTTCAAATCCATTTTCGTGATAATCCCCATCAATGACTGAATCACTGCAGATATAGATAACGATATCACATATCTCTGCCATTAATAGTAATCAATAGATATACTATGCAACAACTACAACTTAAAGAGTCTTGTAAGCTACTTTTAGCTCAAAAAAAGTGCATAGCCATATGAGGCCTGAAATTACCGTCTATAGATGCAAAGCATCTTGTTCATGTTAAACAATAACTACGTTAATTCTGATTAGTGACACTGATAGCGGCTTAAATTTGACACAACTAAGTGACCGCTGGAAAGCGGTGAAGTGGAGCAAAACTGGTACCAATGGTAGCCAGATGTAAAACTCCTACTTCAATGCTGATAAATCACGGCCAGCGTCTTTCATTCCTAAAACAAGTACACTCCTGGTGATCTAGTTTCTTAATTCATATTAGCAAGATTAGTAAGAGAAAATCGAAGCCACAAAGAGTCTGACTGTGAATTAAGTTCCATATATAGTTAAGTTGAACACAAGGACCTTACATAATTGACCCTAAATTATTTCAGACATAAGAGATTAAAATGGATGCCAGCGTTGAGTGTCCATATTTCCATCCCCAGCTAAATGATGTTATTTGGCCCTGATATAGGCTATTTACCAATCAAAAATTCTAATAAGACAGACTTCTAAAAGAAACTAATGACCAACGTTTTGTTAACAAAATAGTAAGGAAAGTTTGAATAATAATAACAAGTAGGGAAGCTGAGAGAAAGTCACCGGTAAACAGAAAAAAAAATATCGCAGAGATAACTGAATGAGCCAATTAAAAATCAGTTTTGTATCCATTGATAACTTCGATAAGTTCATCGATTTTAGCGATACCTGTTTTAAAGGATTCACTCATTTCCTCCCCGAATTTACTGTAACTGGATGAGACCGCATTGCTACTGGCGGATAAGTCGGCCTATGAAAATAAAAACATGTCCTACTATATATAATGAGTAGGAAGGATTTTTCTAAATAAGATAAATTCTCCTTATTGGAAGAACTGATGCTTACACAAATGGCCTCATTTAGACAAAGAACAATCCCAGTTTTCGCGCGAGACGTATTAGGCTCCACAGTGGTAGAAGTGATTGCGGCAACTTGGTTGTCGCTGTAATTGCCCTTACCATTTTCAACCAATCTAAATAAAAGAAGCGGTTAAATGGTCCTACTTTGAAGGAAAACAAAGATAATGTAAAAATACACAAAGTACCAGTGATTTATTAGAAAGTGCTTTGTGTTAAGGTCAATAAGCAGTGCTTTTTAGCTTGCAGCCAACATAAGACGGCGAGCAATCAATACTTACGCAGATGTTGAACCACGAATAAATATTTCGTCTAATTCTTTCTAAAGATACTCTATTGCGTATCACAACTAACCATATATTTAATGCATCTGAATTGCTTCTTTTCAAATTCGAGCATGTTTGTGAGGGTGGAGAGGCCACTATCACTAACCAGTTTCTTGAAATCCTTATGATCCTTTGTTAACTCTTACTATTGACAAGAAATAAATTGATGAATTACTTTGGTATTTATCAGCCAGGTCTTTTACACAACCTAGACAATTTTTGGCGTTTTTCGAAATCCTAATAGAGGAAAAATGCAATTAATTGATCAAGTTTACTTATCGTATTCCTTGTCAGAGAGGTAGTCCATGGTCAATTTTTGCGGTAGGCAATTTACCATATGATTGGTTAATAGCATAAAGTAAGAAACACAACAAAGCATTTTTAAGATGAAGTATAAATAGTCGTTAAAAAATAAAATCGATAAAACTAAAAATTATAAATATATTTTATACATTAACCCATAAAATCTAAACTTAACTGGCCTTGCAAATCGTTTCAAGGTCATTCACTAATGATGCTCAAAAGTTGCATTGTGAGGTGCTTCTTACCGAATTCGACCAACAAATTTCGGATGTTGAAAACGTATTATAACTCATGTTTTATCCATTTCAATCCAAATGATGCTCTTAACTCACGCCAACAAATTAACACATATTTCAAGAACTTAGATGACTCATTTTTGGAAAACTCTCGTCTGCGGTCTATGCAAGAAATCTTGGATCTGCCAACTACGGATAAATACTTTAAAATTAACTTCTGGCCTAAATTTATTTCCTCAACTATTATCAATAAGAAGGGCAAGATTCTACAATCTCTCATACTCTATATTCTTGAGAAAGCAGAAGCTCACTCAACCCCAACTTTACTAGCCATTCTTAAAACGCTTGCCTCCCAGCATCGTTTTGAAGAGTTCGAGTCTTTGTATATTTTGATCAAATCTCGTTTATCTTCTACCGATACTATCGTCTATTCGGCCGATTTATCTGGTGCTCTTTGCCTTTCACCGTTTTATAAGGAAGCAATGACTTATCTTCAATTAAGTCTTGACCAAAAGTTACCGATTGCAGGTTTTACTCATATCTTGACTGCATCAGCTACATTTGGACCTCTTGATGAAGTGATTCCACTGCTTCATAGGTTTCATTCCATTGGATTAAAACCAAATCCTGAATTTTATACGGCATTCATTAAAAGATTGGATGAGTCAAGTGGGGTACAATTAATAGTTCCTCTTCTAGAAGCAGTCAGAAAGTATAAGTATGTATTAACAAACTCTGTTGCCCTTCTTTTAAAGGAATGGTTTGAGAGGTAAAGCTGGGTATCGACTCTCTTTATTTTTATTTTTTATAGATTAGGCTGGAAAGGGACAATGGGAGTTAATCCATCAAGGTATGTTCACCTTTTTTCTATTAGATTTGGCTAGACTATCTTGCCCGTCTTGCTTAAGGTACCTTGATAAGGTACAAATTGATTCTGAAACTTGTAATCAACTTGCTGAAATATTTTATGAAAATGTTCTAAAGGTAATTTTATCTATTGCTATGTCTACATGGCTGTCTATATAGGGAAAAACCTCGGATGAATTATTTTTAACCACTACCCCAAAGGAGTTAGAATCCTTCTTAGTATTTCTTGAGACCAACAAGACTCTTCGATTTGATTGCGTAATCGACTTGCCAAATTTTCTCCACTCAGTAACTCATCGAAAACTATCCAATATGTCTATTGAGGAACAAGTCGGTTTACTCTCTGATGTAAGGTGCTTTTTGGCATCTTGGCATAATCTCTTTACTTTTAGCTTGTATTGATCCTCCATCGAACTTATCATTTTAAGCGCATCTGTCTGGTTGGGAAAGAGCGTGCAGTTGTCAAAAAGAAGCAATTCTGGGATGCGATAAAAGCGTTGGGAAATAGAACTGGAATTAATGTTCAAACGTTCTTGGTTGATCACAGGTAAGTTTCCAACTTTTGGAAGCTTCAAAATGCATTGAAAAATAGCATACTTTTCTACCTAATCGAAGTTTCATATTATCTACTGTAGTTTATTACCTGAATCGTTAGTTTCCTCATGTGGATTTTGATCTGTGACCTCTAGTTTATGTTGGGAATCCTATTCCAATATTTTATGTTCACCCGAGTAACCATCATATGCATTCTTCTTTATGCATTGGGTTCCCAATTATTGGTTTTTTACACTCGCACATACTGACGTAAGACCACCTCTGTAACAATAATTGGCCAATCATTTAATGTCTCCAATGTTAACTTATATCAAATGGCGGGCTTTATGATAGTTATCATTAGCCCTCTAGTTGACTTCGGGCTTCATATTAGGAATGAATATCAAAGTGAAAAATGTCGAGAGGGAGGAACCGAATAGGGATTCAAAGATGCAAAAGAGACAGACAGACAGACAAAAGGTAAGGTGAGTACAGTGAAAGTAGTCGAATATGACATACAGTTGGGGTGATGGTAGTTTGAAGTGAGAAGTCAACTGGCGGTATGAGTATACGTTGCCCAGAGTGCACCACGTGGAGATAAGTCTATCGCACACCCCGTGCACTTACCTTTTAGAAGGGCACGCTGTTTGAGCTATAGATCGTTTTCTTAGTTCACCGTAGGGTTTGTGTAGTTGTAGCTTTGCACAATTCAAGTTGGTGTTTTTTACTTATTCCATTAGCTTGTAAAGTGTGCATGCATAGGGGTCCGTACTCGTTATGGGTAATTAACAGTGCTCTTTAAATCCAGGGGGGAGAAGGGTTAATACTACTGTTTGCTATTCTTCTATTTTCATCGAACGTTACCATTTTATCGATCGTGGGGCTTACTCACGTTTTGATGAACATTTTTAGGGCTTAAGCTTGGTTTTGGACAGCATTTGCACAATATTTTCACCCCATTAAAAAGAAGGATTCAGTCATTTTGCTACATAGTTAGTGTGGTGCGTGAATTGATGCTAATCGAACTCAGGGCCTCTGATTTTGTAGACAAGTAAGTTAAACTCCGGACACAAGTAACTGTTTTTTCATTATTTATTGTAGAAGCAACGATGATGCCTTCATGATATATTTAGCGCTTTGGTCAGGTCCTGACTGTCATCTCCTTTCGATAGATGAGTTCCGTCAGCATCGCTATACTATTGGCCCAGAAGGTGCTGATCTGCTAGCACAATGGCAAACTGCTCGACAGATTTCTGTAAAGAACACTCATCCATTAATCTTTAACGTATGAGTTTGTCTCTTACTCTTTTCTGGCTGTTTATTTTTCAAGTTGTTTGATGCTTAAATTATATTTTTTAGGATTCTGTGGTTTGCGATCCAAGGGTGCAGGGAAATATGAAGGATGGATGGCATATTCCTTATGATTCGGGCGTACCTCGTCTTTCTTATTTACCTCCTACCACTTGGCTCTGTCTACAACCGCCGGCGCATTTTCTATTTAACAATATTCAGTAGTATGCCTATTTGTATATTTAATTTGTGTATAGGGATTCTAGTGGTTACCTGTAATTAAAAGTTTTCCTTCCAGCTGTCCTCTCTTTTTTAATTTTAATCAGTAATATCAATAGGATATATTAAATTTGTAGTCATTTATTTTATTAAGAGTAAGGAATAATTAACAAATATCACCAATTGTTCAAATTTACGTTTCCTTGTGTTTCTTTCAAATAATTTAGACTCACAAAGCTCTGATTTCTCGTGTTGCATTACTATGCTATCTATAAATAAACGCGGGTTTATATCTTAAATGCGGATTACTTACATTCCTGCTCTTATAAACCCAGAACTTTGCCAAATATGTAATCTGAGTTAAATCGAAACACTTATAATGGGCTCTTCTGGTATTTCAGGCAATAGTTGCTCCTTTTGTGCTTAATTAGTATTTGCTTTACTTGCTTAATAGGTGAATATTTATGTAATCATATCAAATGGTAGGCGTTTTGATGGTTATCATTTGCCCTTTAGTGGACTTCAGGCTCCACAGAGGGGAAGGAACATCAGAGTGAAAAAAGTCGAGAGGGGGGGATGGAATAGAAGAGGGTTTCAAAGATGTACAAGAGACAGACACAAAGGTAAGGAGGTAAGGTGAGGTGAGTACTG